TCTCAGAAAAGAACGTATTGGCAACTCACCCCTGACTTTGGAAGAGTCCGATTTGTCAAGTCTGACGTCTCAAGAAAATAATATTGTTGGAGGGAGCAAATTTAAATGAAAGGTAATTTAAATATAAAATACAAATAAAGGTATATAAATTATAATAGGGACAACATATATCTAAACCCTAGCGTATTAAGTGTTGATTATTATTACTATTATTGTTGTTATTATTATTACTATTATTGTTGTTATTATTATTACTGTTATTATTATTACTGTTATTATTATTACTGTTATTATTATTACTGTTATTATTATTACTGTTATTATTATTACTGTTATTATTATTACTGTTATTATTATTACTGTTATTATTATTACTGTTATTATTATTACTGTTATTATTATTACTGTTATTATTATTACTGTTATTATTATTACTGTTATTATTATTACTGTTATTATTATTACTGTTATTATTATTACTGTTATTATTATTACTATTATTGTTGTTATTATTATTACTGTTATTATTATTACTATTATTGTTGTTATTATTATTACTGTTATTATTATTACTGTTATTATTATTACTGTTATTATTATTACTATTATTGTTGTTATTATTATTACTGTTATTATTATTACTGTTATTATTATTACTGTTATTATTATTACTGTTATTATTATTACTGTTATTATTATTACTGTTATTATTATTACTGTTATTATTATTACTGTTATTATTATTACTATTATTGTTGTTATTATTATTACTGTTATTATTATTACTATTATTGTTGTTATTATTATTACTATTATTGTTGTTATTATTATTACTGTTATTATTATTACTGTTATTATTATTACTGTTATTATTATTACTGTTATTATTATTACTATTATTGTTGTTATTATTATTACTGTTATTATTATTACTGTTATTATTATTACTGTTATTATTATTACTGTTATTATTATTACTATTATTGTTGTTATTATTATTACTGTTATTATTATTACTGTTATTATTATTACTATTATTGTTGTTATTATTATTACTGTTATTATTATTACTGTTATTATTATTACTATTATTGTTGTTATTATTATTACTATTATTGTTGTTATTATTATTACTGTTATTATTATTACTATTATTGTTGTTATTATTATTACTGTTATTATTATTACTATTATTGTTGTTATTATTATTACTGTTATTATTATTACTGTTATTATTATTACTATTATTGTTGTTATTATTATTACTGTTATTATTATTACTGTTATTATTATTACTGTTATTATTATTACTGTTATTATTATTACTGTTATTATTATTACTATTATTGTTGTTATTATTATTACTATTATTGTTGTTATTATTATTACTGTTATTATTATTACTATTGTTGTTGCGTTTTCTTTTACGTGTCCAATGCTTGTGAGATTAATTTTTGTGTAATTTTCTGTATTTCACAGGACAACGAATGGAATACAAAGGAGGTAAGAAATAAAAGAAACAATGAAATGGAAAGACAATTATAATGAATTTTTCTTAGTCTTACACCATGTTTCTGCTAATTTTCTTTATATGTTTTTTTTTCGTATTGTTTGACTAATTGATTGATATTTAATTTTGCATGTTCAGGAGTAGTGATGAATGACTTTCATTTGTTATTGTTGTCAGAATTTCAACTCGCTCTTGATTATTCAATTTTTTTGTCTGTCAGTATTTATATATTTATCAGTATTCTTGTTTTCAGTCTCTTTCTGTTTGACATTTCCTTCTCCCTCTTTCTGTATGTTTTACTCGCTTTCTCTTTTTCTCTCCCATTTTTTTTCTCGCATCTTTGTTTTCTTCTCCGATCGTATCATTAATTCCCACTTCGCTCTTACTCGTTCTATCTACGTCCATATTTTCTTCCGCGCGCTCTCTCTCTTTCTCTGTCTCTTGGTCCCTCAGCCTCTCTCTCTCTCTCTCTCTCTCTCTCTCTCTCTCTCTCTCTCTCTCTCTCTCTCTCTCTCTCTCTCTCTCTCTCTCTCTCTCTCTCTCTCTCTCTCATCTTTTTTCCTCCTTTTCCTTCCTTCCAGCCCTCTCTCCCAGCCTTCCTTCCTTCTCCCATCTCTCCCATGCTTCTCCCTCTCCCTCCCTCCCTCCCCTCCCCTCCTTATCCCTCCTACTCCCATCTCTCCTTCTCAGTCTCCTTCCAGCTCAGTCTCTCTCCTTCTTTCTCCTTCCCTCCCTCTCTCCCTCCCTCCTACCTCCCACCTTCTCCCTTCTCCCTTCCCTTCCTCCTTCTCCCTCCCTCCCTCCCTCTCACCACCACACCCTTCTCACGCCCACTCTCCTCCCTCCGCAGCTCCGCCTGGCCGCCCTCAACGAGCCCTGGCAAGGTAGTTTCCACGACGTAGCCTCCCCGGACTACACGTGCTATCGGCAGGCTAGGAGTGCCGGCCTGCGTGGGACTTTCAGGTGAGACATACTCGCAAGGTGCCATTT